ATCACTTTTTCTCTTTTTTGTATGCGGGTACACGCGTTTTCTGAAAATTTTGTCTGCTTGGGTAACAACTAGTTATTTAATGATGTAAAAATATTTGTTCAAGATCATTCAATGACTTTTCAAAACAATGTTAAAGTAAAATAAATGTTGGTTAAACCTTTAAAATACATACTACAATTTTCACCAGATTTTTTTCTATATGAAAGCATATTATCAAACTTCTTTTTTTCAAGCAATTGTTCATTCACTTCAACGTAAGTATTAACAGTAGATTGTCTGACAACAATAGATAAATAGTATCAATCTTTTACTTGTCTTTGTATGTATCTCTAATGCATATTTTTATGCAACTTCAAATGATACCGTCAGATTTTTTGACAGAAAAAAAGACAGTTCAGTTTTATACTCAATATTTGTTGAAATCTATTAATCTCGGACTCAATGTCGATAAATACTGCTGATGTTCTTAGTAACAATAATTGTTAAGAAAATGTCATTATAGTTTTATGGCACTTATGCAAGTTTATGAATCATTGAGTCTATTGATTATTATTCCGGGCACTTAAGTGAATGCAAGTTTTTAGAGAATATAAATATTATGATCGTTTTCTATAATGAATTAAATACAGGTAATGCAAAAAATATTCAAAAAACAATATATGCAAATACGATTCATGCAGATTTCACTTTTCAGTGATATTTTCATTTATCAAAGTATCACACTCAATTATTTCAGGTAAACATGTCCAACGCCATATTTAAGCAGGCCGCAGCCGTTTTTCCAAGAAATCCTGAAGTTTTAGAACCACCTCCAAAACGTCAACGAGCTAGTTCTATTATTAAAGAATTTTCTTTAAATACATCAACACATGGCTTACCTGGTATTGCACGTAGTCAAAGTATACCAAATCGTATATTTTGGTCTATTTCAACACTTGCATTTACTGGTATAATGCTCTACTTTATTGTTCAAGCTATTCGTGCATATTTCGAATATCCTTCACAAACATCTGTATCGATTATTTTTGAATGGCCTCAAGCTTTTCCTGCAGTAACGATTTGTAATTATTCTCCAATACGATATGATAAGTTTATTGATCCTTTTTTAAACTATACTAATTCATTGAATTTAACAAATACAACAGATACAACTAATTTTACTTTCATACAATCTTTATATGTTCGTGATTTTCTAGTTTATAAACTTAATCAAGGAGATTCTTTGAAGGATTTTGTTTATCCACTTGAGGCAATGATGATGAGCTGTACATATAATGGACTGTCATGTTCTGCAGCTAATTTCACTTGGTTTTTATCACCCACATATGGTATGTGTTATACATTCAATGCTAAATTAAAAAATACCATCAATGATGGTATTAGATACAATGCTGATAATGGAGGAAATGGCGTACTTGAACTACGTCTCTATGCACATCGACATCAATATGTACCCTACCTATCAAATGGTAAGCAAAATATTATGATCTCATAACAGTTCACTTTATTTTTATTATTTCTTCTATATATATGTTATGTCTAGCTGTTGGTATGGTAGCATTAGTTCATGACAATGCACAGGTACCTAATATTGATATGTCAGCAGTGTATCTTTCACCTGGACGACATCATAAATTGGGCTATACAAAAAAAATTAGTTATTTTTTGCCGCCACCTTACACAGAATGTAATGATCAAGTTAGTCTTGGAATGCAAGCTGCTTTTGACGAATATAATGGTCCTAATTATGGATATTCACGATATCAATGCTTTTATGTCTGCATGCAAGCATATATGTAAGTATGTTGAATTCATTGCATAATAATCTTTTAAGAAATTTATTCCTTTCAGTTATCAAACTTGTGGTTGTGGAAATCCTTTTATTTGGAGTGCTCGTTCAATTGTACTTCCAGGTACTAACAAAATAACTAATATATCACTTTGTGAGATAAAAAATCCATGTTCTGGTAAGACAAGAATAAATTTTATGAATTCAAAAGCTATTTGGAGTAGTTATTGTCCTGATTGTACAGAAGAATGTTCTAATATAGATTTCAATATTAAATCATCATCACTTTTGGCACCACCTGAATTTCTATTAGATAGTATAAAAATGTTTGTTGAATCATCAAATATTAGTGTATCTGCAAATTGGTCTACATCAATGATTTCAGAAATTCAATCTAATTATGTTTCTTTGGAAGTTTCTTATGATACAACACGAACTGATCTCTATTCTGAACAACCAACACTTGATCCAGTTGATGTTCTTTCTAATGTTGGTGGACAAACAGGTCTTTGGATTGGTATTAGTTTTTTATCGTTGATGGAAATTGCTGAAATGATCTATCGACTTATACGTTATCAATATTATAATATTCGAAAACCTATACAAAACAAAGTTAGAATACAGGAAACTTATATTTACTGAATTACGGATAATAATAAATTTGAATAAATTCATTTAACTATGAAATAATCTTTTTTAATATTCACACAACGAATAAAATTACGATTCTCCTGCTCTATCTACTGATTTCTTTATTCAAGAACGGATAATTTTTTTCAGTTGATCACTTCTATGCATTGAAAATATGTTAATCAACTTTTTCTAGAAGTTTTATGCTTCGTTTATATTAAAGATTAATATCGTATTTATAAACCTCATCACTTCTTCTAATTTTAACCTCAAATATTTCAATAATCTCTATTAACTATACATAAATCATTTCTACTCAGTTGTAAATTATATTTGTAAATACAAATAGAATTTCTATGAAGTGTTTATCAATTGTCATAGGTATTATTGCATTAATACACTGGTCCATTAAGTCAAGCAAGAAATATCCTATAAAGCAATCAAACATATAATGATCATTTTTCCAATGTAGATTAAATAGCATAGTCTGACTGATCAAAATCTTGTTTGTCATTACAAGGAGTGCTTTTTCCTCAATTGCGAATGTATTCCTAAGAAACTGCGTTGTTTTATGAAATTCAAACATATTTTCAAAGAAAATAGTGAATATGAGTTTTAAGTCGAAGTTTTGTCGACCAAAGCAACTGAGAACTACAGATGTCAGACGTCTTTCCTACAATTTTTAGCAACGAAAAAAGGCATTGAACGATATTAACGACAATATTTAGACTTTTTTAGATTATTTCAAAGATTTCGTTGAAACTTGAATGGCTGTAACACAATTACCAAGGTGCTAAATAGTACAGTTTTTGATTTTTATACCAATAAGGATGTATATTTGAAATATCAACGATAATGGATAACGATGCATTGACTTGCTACAATTATCACATAATCAACATAAAAAGCGCGAACTGATCAAATTATAACTTTCAACACCAATTTTCGTCAGCTCATCAAGATAGATAGTAGCGAATTGAGACTTACTGTAGATATAATTGATCGACAATTGAATACCAACAAGACAAACAGTAGAAAAACGTAGGAAATGCAGAAATAAAAAAATGGATCATCCATACAGACCGTATAATCAAAACGAAGAGTAGACGAACGATCAAACATTTCTGGACGTTCAAACACTAAATACGAATATTTTTCTTTTTGTTTCACACAACATTCAGCGAAACTTTCACAGTGTGTTTGTTTTAAAGAATATTTTTAGCAAGAAAATCAGCAGAGCATGAATATGGTGTTTCAATGATTCATAATTAGACTACAAGAGCAGACAGTTTTTTGTGAAGCAGTTCTATGAGACTGTCGAGTACTACGGGTTTTGAACTTCATTTTTTTAATTATTTTTTTGCTGATTAGAATTCAATCATTTTAAAAAACAAAGGCTTTGCAAAAGACTGCGTTTTTGTCTGTTGTTGATGAAATATGTGTTTATTCATTTCTATTTTTGACAGGTTTATTTAGTAAAAAAGAAGCAGTATATTGTAATTAGTAGACCTTTTCTAAAGTTTTTTAATACAAAGGATGTTAGAACCCGTCTAATCGGTTTTAGACGCGAATGCATCCGAGTCTGAAAATTTTTTCTCTGGCAATTGATAACTCTTGGGAAACAATAATAGCGTACTAGAAATTTGTCACTTAATGTCTCTTGTATTAATATGAAGAGAGTAAAGACCTCATGTCAGTTTCACATTTCAGGGGCTGTATTGACCATTTTTTTTTAGAAGAAAAATCTTTTTTTTTTTTATTCGCTCTTTAAAAAAAAGAGAGAAACTTGAAGCGTTTTATTAATATAAAAAAAAACTAAAAATGATTTTCTTTCACCACTTATTCTCATATGCTCGTACTTGTATGAGAAAGTTACCGAACATAATTGAATATTTCATTATCAAGCCATAACGATCAATGTGCTCGACTTCAATCGTTTATAATTAATATAGGTTAATAGCTTCATTTGTTCTTATACCAATAATAAATTTACCCCATTGAATAACATTCCAAGGTTGATGAGCATATTTATCCATTTTCAAAAGTTTTCCATTATTAGAAATATGATAAAGACGACGATTTAAAGCATCTACAACCATCCATTGTTCACCATGAAGTAAACAACAACGAAATCCTTGTCCAATATCAATTGACCAAAGACATTGAAGATTTATCGAAGATTTAAGATCAAGACGTGTTTTATCGTTTTCTGTATTATAGATAACCATTGCAAGTGTTTTCTGATTTGCTCTAAGATCAAAAATATATTCACATTGTTCACATGTTTCTGGTGATGTTCGTTCTTTAACGCTTTTACTTGATGGTGGAAGCTTATATTCAAAAATCGATGGACCTAATCCTCGTGCTAATACGAATAAAGCAGAATCAGAACAAGTTGCACGACTTAATTCAATATCCGATGAAATAGGACATTTAGCAATAGTCATTGTATTTTGATCAAGTGTAAATACTTCTTGATTTGTCACTATTATAAATCGACTTAATGTTGATGACCAACACATATCCCAAATATTATCATGTGTCCATGGTGTTTGTTTAATAATTGAAAAATGTCGATCAAGTAAAGAAATATTTGGTGGTTGATGTACTAATAAATTTTTTTCATTATTAGCTAAAGCTGGAAATTCATCATATGGTATTTTCATTGTTCGACAAGGTGTAGGTAAAGGAAAAAGATCTCGAATAATAAGATTATCATCAATAACAAGTGGATGTATAGTAAATCGAAGACTTTGAAATTCACTAAATTTTTGTTCAATTAAACGAATATCTTGTGTAAGTAAATCAACATCTTGCTGTACGGCATCATGTTTTCGAATTAATTTTTCCATTATATGTCGAACACGTTGAACTTCTTTTTCTAATTTTTGACGTCTATCATCAACTAAATTTCGACGTTTTGATTCATAGTATTGTTCAACTGTTCGATGAGCTTCCTCACGCCATTTTTCTAATGCTACAAGATAAGAAGGTTCAATAGATGTGAATTTATTTAATCGTTTAGCCAGTCCATTTATTTTATCCGATAATGGTGGTATTTTATTATTAATTCGACCAAAATGTTGTGTTAAATGTTCAAAGCAATAACATTTTTCACAACATATACATACAGTACGTGATGGACTTTTACATCCTTCGATAGTACATGGCCTGCTTGACGATGCCATTTGTTACCATAAACAAGACAGGTGTGAGTTGTTCAACAGAAGAATGTATGAAAAAATCGATTGTTTGCATATGACATGCATGCCGTTAAATTTTCTTTAAATGGGATTAACAAATGGTGAGAAGAAAATATGAAGGGAATCGTCAGCATGCAAAAAAAAAACAATGTCTGCTTTAATGGATTGCTGTACAAAACATGTTATTGTTAAACTTTTTTTTCTTCTGTCCTTCCAAATTGTCAATCCATGCAAACTTTCAATGGAATGTGCACGTTGATTGTTACTCAATTCTCAAGGCTTCAGACAACGTGTTCATGATAATTTTCAGATCAATTGATTCATTTTTTTATCCACAGACTAAGAAAAATGATGAATTCAAGTTTTGAAATTTTAAATAAAGTTGATGTTTTCAACGTGTTTAGCCATTTCAACAATTATAAAGGGTGCATCAAGAATCTAGTTTCAGTTAGCTTCCTGGATGTTATACATGAATTCTCATATGATCCCATACTATAGTTTTACATAAGGTTCAATGAAAAATTTCTTCACGCCTAACTTTATCCTCCGATAAAGAATAGTGAATTTTATTTAGTAACAAAATAATCAAGAAAAGCTCATCCTCTACTTTCATGACCTAAATTTTTTTCGTGCGCATTCTATAGTCTGAAATAGTATTTATCTACTGACTACAATCAAAATAGCAAAAACTGTACATTGTTTCATTTTTTCCTCAAATCAATTTTCTCATGAAACAAAGTGCAGAAAAATACGTGCTTCATCAGCCTAGTATGTTGGATGAATCTGGAAATTTTTCTGATATCTGTTTTGGATGAAGTACTTTTTTTGTTTAGAACATATTGTTCTGTTGATTGTTGATAGCCCTATTAAAAAGAACATGCATATGCTAGGATAACTGTAATATTTTAGTAGGACAAAAAATTAACAGATACTTACTGAAAGGAATGTCTAGTCCTTGTGAACAGATTTTCAGCTTGATCAAAAGTAGCACGTCGAAGAAACGGAAGCGAAAATCATAGGAGATAGTATCTAGGAGTTTTGAATTTATGATAAGACTTGCTCTATTTGCCAAGATCTACCGGCATTTGCAAATTTCAAAATTTTCTCATAAGTTGTTCTTCGGAAATCTTACACGGAAGGATTACCCTCAAGTGTAGTTCGTTTCGTAAAAATCTAAATAACACAATTAAAATGACTTAGACTTTTTTCTTCAGAAAAAATTGTTTCATAAAATATTCTTTTCAGTTAAGAAAGAATGAGTCCGAATATGCAAAGAAAATTTAGCAAAATTTAAATCTGATGCGTGGCGGTTATGTGATGGGATAACAAGTAATCAATCATGACTTTACTATAAATAAGTTGGTCGAAGATCATTAAACTCTGCTTTGGCTTCAAGAAGTGATCCTTCATCTATTATGGTTCGACCAGAGGTGCAGAATCTTCCTCATGCGCCCCCGCGCGGGGAGGGAAATTTTTTGAAAAACTCAAATAATAGGGAAATTTTGGAAAAACCCGCTGGCCAAAAAAAAATACAGTGGGGAAATTTTTCAAAAAACTTTTTTGCGTGGGGGGAAATTTTTGGATTTTTGGAAGATTCTGCACCTCTGGGTTCGACACAGTTATTTTGCTCGAAGAACTTTCTTTAGCAACTTTTTTTAAATCAACCAGTCCTCTTAGTATGATTCCTGTGGAACGATGACAAACTATCGACCACCAATATTAATTACATCGATAAATGTTTTCAACTTCTCATTAATAACATCAAGAAAAAACGACTTACATGTGATATTCAAGGTGTTAAAATTCATTACGATGATGCGAGACCACATATTCATAAAGGCATGTCGAATTATCTTGAATCTAGAGGTATCACAATAGTCACATCCGCCCAATTTTCCAGCTTTATCACCATGTAATTTTTGATTATTTTACTTAATCAAACAAAATCTGACTGATCAAAACAATTTGGAAGTGTTACATCTTGCTGTATCTAACTTCATGAACTCTTTAAATAAAGAAGAATATATAGAAAAATGTTCGATGAATGGATTCAATGAACGCGATTGTGTGTGGATAACCACGACGATTACTTCGAACATTTGATGAAATAAAAACTTGAGAAATTCTAAGCTTTTTTGTACGAAATGATAGTATCTCCACCATTACTTTTGGATTGTCCTAAGTAACTTTGTATTGCAGTGCAAGCAAACGATGATTGTGATAGCCACTAGAAAATCAACAAAATTTACTTAATATTTTTATTGATTGAAAAGTTTTACGAAGTTATAACTGGCTTTCTGAAAGATAGAAAAATACTGACTTGAAATTTATCCTGTGAGCAAGCATGAATCTAATAGAAGCAATATGTGTCTTGAAACAGTGCGTTGAATAACTTCAGACTCAAGCGATTTAAGTTGGTTCATCAGCTATGGTCTTGACTAAGCATGGTTTATTGTAACCATTTTATGATGAATTGAATTAGATGAAGGGACACGTTGGTTTTTCTTACTCTACACTATTTAGTACGGCAGCCAAGGAGGCAAAAATTTATTAAGTGGTTTAGAAATATTTGTTAACCTTCTGACAGTAAATATAATACATGGTTTATAGACTTTACATATATTTCGTGAAATTCGAAATCAACAAATCTTTCATATAGCAGTCAATGAATTTATGAGAGAGAGTTAAGCTACACTTGATTCGTCAAGGTGAATGAAACGTTACTCTTGGTTCAACACATAACGCAACTTGAATTCTACACACAGATCTACTGAATGTTTGATCGATTTCGATGGAGAAATATCCGTTTTGCTCCGTAAATATGTTCACGAGAAAAATAACTAAAAGTTTTGTAGCTCAGAAAGCAGTCAGATATACACACCTTTAATACTTAAAACGATAAACAAATACAGATATCAAAAAAAGAACGTACATCTTTCTCTACTGTATCGAAAAACTGACTGGACACATTCCAAAAGTCTCCATTATATCTGTTCGTTTGACTTCAAAGCTAGAAACATCACAAATCTAAATAGACACAATGGATGCATCTAAATTTTTTAATAGTTGTCTATATTTAGGTTGATTAAAACAATAAAAAAATTAGTTTTCTACCGACAACACAATTTTTCAAGTTCTGTATTATTCTTATGTGTATAATATTTATTGTTACATATAATACCCGTTGACATAAAAGAAGAGATGTACTTATTACTTCAAAAAATTCAAGACCATCAATTAAAAGTTAATTGGATGTTAAATTAACAAAAACCATAATAGAAAACAATATTTATTGACAATTATGACTTACAATAGCAAAAATAATAAGCAAAAATAAAATGAAATCGATATTACTTCTCATTAGTTCATTATATTACAAATTTATTTTATTTTATAATTTATTTGAACTATTTTTCTATGCCTTCAATACGTTCACTAATCGTATTGAAAATTCGATCGAAAATTCTTGTTTGTTTACCATAATTTTTACCACTCTTTCCGTATCGATGATGTAAATCATGATCTTCAATAGTAAGTTCCATTTTAAATGGTCGAAGTATTTCACCGAGAAGTGGATGAGTCCAATAAGCACGTGCACCACTATGACCCATTCCTTCAACATACATAAGAATACATTGAGCTATCCAAAGTTCATGCGCTGACAATGGCATAACTAATGATGCACCTAATGGAATGAAAACAATCTCAATAATTTCTTGTATATCATCAGCAAGAATTGCTTGAATTGGTGTCGGATGTTTTGTCGCATGATGTTTACTATGATATTTCCAAAGAAAAGGAAATGTATGAACTGCACGATGATAAGAATAAAAGAAAAAATCTAATGCTATAAACCAAAGACCAATCTTAATTGGAAAATTCCAAGATATAGTATGTCCCAGTGATGGCGGATTATAACGATTATATCCACCAAGAATTAAACTACCAGCAGTACGTAGTACTGCATAAGCAAGAACACTTAAAATTAATCGACGTACATCTTTATCAGGAACATAATCACGTGGTCTATTATGTTCATCAAATGTACCATATAAATTCATATAATACGTAAGACGTCTAATTAGATTAATAATAAAAACAATTAATGCCAAATGATAAAAAATAAATGCTACCATTGGATGCCAAGTATGAAAGAAATTATTTTCAGGTATAATATAATACCAAAGTGCTTGAATTATTAATGCTGGTACAATCATAATTGTTAACCATATACGTTCACGCCAAACACTAAGATTCGGTGGTGGATTTGGATTTCGTGGTTGTACAACATAACATTTCTCATTGGCAAGATCAAGTGTAGCAAGACGCTCCCAGAAATTTCGTTTATGATACGGTTTTTTTACCCAATTAACTGTTGCACGAAGTTTGTAAGTCACAGGTAATGAAGCTATATGTTGAAAATCGGTATTAGTTTCCGAGCTTTGAGATTTTTCATAAATTGTTTCAGTAGTAAATATTGATGTCATATTTATTTGAGAAATATATTTTGAGTATTAAAAATAGATAGACATATATGCTTGACTCTCAGAGTCACATTCAACCCTTTTTGTATTTTCTCTACTATCCTATGAAAATATGAATCATTTATGAAGTCTGTTCGTGTATTTTTGTACTTTGTTAATATCATGTAAAAGAAAAAAAAATAAACGAGAAGATAAAAAAAACAGAACTTAGTCGTTCGGATTTCTAGATGATTCTTATCTATTTTTGTCACATTTAATTCTCTTCTTTGATAACGAGACAGAAAATAGAATACAAATTGTAAAATAGATAAAAATAAAAATAAAACTAAAATCAATGTATGATCTAACATCAATGTTTTAATCTATTCATATTAAAGATTAAGTAGTTTTTGAATTCGTTACAAATTTGATTTTTCTCATTGTAAGAAAAAAAGTAAAAATTATCAAGAATTCAAATCCGAACCTGTTCTTGTTGTATCACTACCACATAAATTCACCATATCAGTAATAAAATTTGCTAAACCAAAATTTAGTATGTAGATTTTATTCATGCTGATATTTTGATTTATGAGCAAACATTTCAAAGTAAGTATGTAAATTTATGTAGAAAAATCATATCCGAGTAACCTATATTGAAATAAGAATTCCTCTTAAAATAAACAGTTTCATTAGACATTAACAGTAAGACACAATAAAAAGTCACAAACATTCCTATAGCGTGATATATCGATTTTGTTTAAAAGTCCAACATTATCAAATCTGATCTAGAAAAAAAATCTTAATCGACTAAAATAAAAGATGAAACTTCTGAGACTTCAAAAGTACTCTTTTTGTTGAATGACACGAACTTGTTTGCATGATAAAATGATAATAACCATTGACAATAGATATCCATACGTCAAACACCGTTTTATTTTTATACTAAGTACGAACTTTTTCTTCGACTATCTCTTGCTATTTAACTTTACCTTATCTACTGAATAATATAAGAAAAACAAAACTCGACGTATAAAGTTATTATATTATTTATTTCAAAACTTAATCTAAGAATTTCAATAGAACAAATTCATTTATAATTGGTCGGGGGGTGAATTCTCTTTATTGAATCGAAACATTGTCCTAGTCACACACAAAGATAAATGACCGTGAATGCGATATAATTTTTAAAAAAACCGTACAAATTGTGCAAAAATAGTGCAAGAACGTGTGTGATCTTAGAAAATAAAATGACACAAATTTTTTAGTCTCTTTGTTGTAATTCCTTTTGAAGCGATAAGAACAAACAAACAAACAAAAAAAAAGAAAAAGAAATTAGCACCTTGATTATTAGAAGCAAATAAAAATCACCGGTGAGGCTTATAAGTCAAAATAAAAATCTTATTAACTTTCTGCTGTTGCACCACCGCCTCCCGGTTCATATTGACGTCGAAAACAATCTCCAATAGGAAAGAAATCCCATCGACGACTCTGATACATTTCCCAAACATAACTTTCCTATAGTAACAAAAACAAAAAAAAATCTATTTTTATGATGATTATTAAATAAAACAAACCTGTCCAGTATGTTCTGTATCAGGTTTATTTAGAAGATGTGTTAAAAAGAACAAATAATTTGCAAAATTATGTTCGGCTGTTGTATGTGTCTTAAAGAAAAGAACAAAAAAAAAATAAATTTTTTTTAACACATAGACAAAATCATTCCTTAAAGACGCGACTTAGTAAAATCAAAACACATCTATTTTGAGATAATGAACTTTTCTAGAGCTGATTTTCAGATATTCCGAAAAAAATCAGTGCTACAAACTTTCGTTCATAGGTAGAGAGATATTTCCTAATGAGTTCTTAATTGATTATTTTAAACTAATAGTTAGCTGAAAGAGTCAATATTTTTACATCTTTCTATGTTAAAAGAACTTATTCAGAGAAGTAAATATTTTAAAGAATCAAAGTCATATGAACAATGGGCATGTCGCATTTTGTCTGAAATGACCAATATATATATATTTATTTATTTATTTATTACTTCAAACCCATGCGGCTCTTTGTCAAAATAATCTTGACCAATACCACAAATAAAACATTTTGACTAGAATATAAATAAATAAGAAAAATAAAGTAGAATTGGTTTATAGTTTACTTCAAGTGTTTCTTTAACAGAATCAAGTTGTTCTCGAAGATCACCAAAAGCATCAATAATTAAACCTAAAATTTCATATTGTTTTATAGAAAAAAAAAAAAACGAAACTTTTTTAGTAGTATATTAATCTAACCTTGAATGATAGCAAGAAGTATAACGATAATAAAAAAGAAGAATGTTATATCAAAAACAATTCGATATAATTCAAGTGGATCTCCATTTGGTGATTCAAGTTCATCACCAATACCACCACCAGCTCGAATACCAGAATACAAATGAAATTTAAAGCACTAATTTAATAAATATATATTATTCTTATAATAATTATCATCATTTGCTTTTTTTTTACTTACAGTAAACATATCTTTACAATTTTCTTCTTTTTCTTCATCTTCTTCTTTCGTATAAAATTTACGAAAGAAATTAAATGCAATAACTGTATAAAGATAGACAACTACAGCCATTAACATTATTGTTAGAAGTAGCTAGATAAACAAAAAAAAGATCTTTTTTTACATGATACTAATATAATATTTTTCTATGAAATTTACCTGTCGACCATTATGAGTAATGGATTTTAAGATAGTACTTAGAGCTTTAACACTAATAGCAACATCAAGTAAATGAATTGCAAAGACAAAAAATGAAAAATTGCCAATAACGGAAAATATGAAGTAAAAGAAGACATAGAGAAATGACTAGAACAAAAATCAAAAGACATGATCGATATTATTTGTTAAATTATTTATTAATCAAACGAAAAACGTCAAATATTCTATATGAAAAGATCTACTAAAGAATCTAATGTACATTTTTACGTTAACAAAAAACAAGAAATCGTTTCGTTAGAAGAATTTTCCATATGTATGTATCTCATATGATTCAAACCGGGCAAAAATTATCGATAGTTTAACATTTAAATCATCGTCTATCCTTTGAATAATGTGTAACATGAAAAATAGGAAAGGATCATTCATCTTAAGTAATCAATGTTACACAAGAGATTCTGTGTTCATGTAATGATACATATGGATTTTTTATTTTGTTTCTATAAGAAATACATCTAGACGCTGTCAGAAGATGTAAGATTGTCTTACAGTTGTAGATATTATTATCGTCCATACCTTAATAATAACATTTTGAGTGACTGAAATTTCGGCAATACGACTTTTGCCATTAGCAAAAGTTTTATACAAAAAATTCAAAAAAAGCGTGAACATTCTACGTGTTTGCATCATAATCAAAATATATTGTTCTTTTTATATTATGTTTGCATCTCAACAAAATTCAATTTATGATTTGAAAATAAAATAAAACTGTTATTTAATTCGTCGTTAGTCTTTTTTAATTGTTTATCAAAATGAATATAAGCATACACTATTTCGCATACATTTTTTCGTACATTCATTAGCTCAACTCACTCATTCGATAGCACACTGTCCAGAGCTACAAATAGTAATAGTTTTAGAGAAAATATCGAATTTACAAAACTCTTATTATTAATAGTATAATGAAGTCGATTATGTTTATTTTGAATTTAGATTTGATATTTATAAATTATTTTATATTACTTACATTATCCGTAAAAATGACACCCCATTTCCATACTTGATAACGCATATCAACAGATTTAATTCTAATTAATAACAATAAAACTATTTAGAAATATTTTTTTTGTTATTATTGTATTTACATACTTTCCCCATAGACCAGTTTCAACTGGTTTAACAATTTCAAATTTTCCAGGTGTATCATTTTTTTCCATACCCAAAAATCGACTTAATTCATCATAATCAAATTGATCTGAATATTTATTTCGAACTTTTTTCTTAACAAATTTATCCCAATATGAATCAGGAAATGATTTTGAACTTATAACAAGTTTATGCCATTCACGTGATAAATATGATAATATCCATGAATTATTTTCACTTGGTTGATCAATTAACCAAGCACCTTCAAATTCTAATTTTCGAGCAATTTCTTTTTCTCGTTTAAATATAACTAGAGGAACCTAGACAAAAAAAGAAATATTTTTATATTTCAAAAAAAAAAAACAAAAAATCTTTAATCGAATTCATACTTTTAATTTATAATAACTAATCATCATTAGAAATGCAACACATGAATGTAAAAATGCACTTATTTGTAATAGATAAACCATATAATAATTTTTTGGATCCATCATAATTACTTCATTTTCATCTTCATCAATAGATTCAATTGCATCAGATGGAACTGGTTCTTCAACTGCTGCAACTAATGGTAAAGCCTATAAATTTTTCGAATAATTTTATTATCTGTTATATTTAATTAATATTACCTTATAGAAAAGCATTAGAAAATTAATTACAAAAGCAAGACAAAGAGCCATAAATTTTAATTGATGATAATTTCTTGCAACTAATGCCTATTTAAGAACAATAAAGGATGATATCAATCAAATTTATTCTCAAGAGTTTACTAATCGCATAGAATAATATTTACAATATTAGTCAAAAATATATGATCAATGTAGTTTTGATCTTGTTTTTTTTTATTATAAGTATTTAATTCAAATCCAAATAATGGTTTGAAAATAGTTCATGAAGTTTTTTTTTTATCAAATAAATTCTTTACTGGTGATTTCATCGATAGATTTTACAAAAAAAACCGACCATAGCAGTTTTTTGGTTTCAGAAGACTTTGTGAAAATACGTTTTTACAAAGTTCTGAATGAAATGAAGAGTTGCCACATTTCCTACGATCTTCTCTTAAAAAGTTATGAGCATCATAAAAGATAGAAAAAATGCAGTTTTCAACCAAGTTTTAGAAACTTATAGTTTCTCACCGGAGTATCACAGAAAATGCGATAACTCCTTATTTT